GAATAGAGAATCCAGAAGTAAATCTACTCACACACTTACAGCCAAATAATTTTCTACAAAAGTGCCAAGAACATACACTGGGGAAAGGGCAGTCTCTTTAATAAATGGTGCAGTGGAAACTGGGTATCCATATGCAGAAGAATAAAACTAGATCCCTACATTTCAACATACACAAAAATCAACTCAAAATGGATTGAAGATTTTAAGACCTGAAACTATGAAACTATTAGAAGAAGACATTGGGGAAATGCCTCAGGATATTAGTCTTGGTAAAGATTTTTTGAGTAAGACCTTAAAAGCATAGGCAACCAAAGCAAAAATAGATGAATGGGGATTGTATCAAGCTAAAAAGCTTCTGCACTGCAAATATTTCCTCTCATACTGTAGGTTGTCTCTTCAGTTTGTTGAATATTTGCAAAATATCAATCTGACAGGGATTTATAGCCAGAATATATAAGAAAGTTCAAAAACTCAATAGCAAGAAAACAAATAATCTGATTTAATAATAGGCAAAAAACCTGAATAGATTTTTCTCAGAAGAAGGGACATAGATGACCAACAGGTATATGAAAAAATGTTTATCATCACTTATCATCAGGGAAATGCAAATCAAAATCACAATGAGATATTATCTCACCCTAGTTAAAATGGCTATTATCAAAAAGAAAAAAAAATAACAAATGTTGGCATGGAAGCAGAGAAAGGGGAATGTTCTTTGGTGGGAATGTAAAGTAATCATTATGGAAAACAGAATGGAGGTTCCTCAGAAAAGTAAAGATAGGACTACTGTATGATCCAGCAATCCCACTGCTAGGTATATTTCCAAAAGAAAGGAAATCAGTATACTGAAGAGATGTCTGCACTCCCATGTTTATTGCAGCACGATACCTAATAGCCAAGATATGGAATCAACCTAAGTATCCACCAGCAGATGAATGGATAAAGAAAATGTAGAACATATACACGTGGAATATTATTCAGCCATAAAAAGAATGAAATCCTGACATTTGCAGCAACGTGAACAGAATAGGAGGTCATTATGTTAAGTGAAATAAGAGCCAGGCATAGAAAGACAAATATCACACAGTCTCCCTCATACATGGGAGACAAAATAGTAGGTCTGTTGGAGTTAGAGTGGAATGGGGATGACCAGGGGCTGGGAACAAATTGGGAGCAATGAAGAGAAGTTGGTTAATAGGTACAAAAATACAGTTAGAAGGAATAAATTCTAGTATTTTGATAGTAGAGTAGGGAAATTGTAGTTAATAATTTATTGTGTATTTCAAAATAGCTGGAAAAGAAGAATTTTGGTCTTCTGAAAAAGAAAAATAATGGTCCCAACAGAAAGAAAAGATAAATGTTTGAGGTGATGGATATCTCAATTACCCTGATTTGATCATTACACATTATATACATGTATCAGAATATCATATGTACCCCCAAAATATTAATGTGTACAACTATGATATATCAATTTACAAAGAGAATCTGAGCCACAGTTAAATAACCTAGCTATGATGTCACTGTGAATCAGCAGCACAGCTGGAACTAGTATCAGGTCTCTTTGCATTCCAGGATTCTTTCTATTGGCCTTGGAATAAATTGCCAAAAGTCACTCTGTGATGGTAACCTGTAGCATTGGCCACAATTTTGAGCAGAAATAATACAAGTTAACAATGAGAAATTGGCATTCCTGTAGTTTGCAGATTGGGAAATATTTTTTTTAAAGGAATATCATGTCCTCTGCCTGCTCTCTGGTGGAAGTGCTATTTAGCAACAGCCATGTGTGAAAGACCAATGACAGGCAAGTTGTAAGGAACCGGTAATTCTTAAATGAATAACTCTTTTACCATCAAGAATTTTTTTATATGGACAAATACCTATTTCTGTTTATTTGGATCTTCTCACTAAAATGTAAAAATAGATTTTCATCATACTTATCAATTAAACATGTTCTACTTTATTCAAGAGCATCCAACAAATAATTTATTGAGCCCCTGGGTACCAAGTGGTGAGCAAGAAATGTATACTTACTGGAATAAGAAGATGTTGAAGGAGTAATCATACAAATAATTAGTAAATGCTATACATAAAGAGTAGAGAGGGATATATGATCATATAGCAATGTTTGTAAAGGCTCACCTGAGGAATTAAAGTTTTAGCTGAGATAAGAAAGTTTAATGAATAGGCAACAAAGAGGCAGAGGGCTGGATAAAAGGGTCTCATACAGAGGAAACAGCATGTACAAAGGCCCTGAGGAAAGACAGGGCATGAAATGTTCTAAAATTGAAAGAAAAGAAGAGAATTTGGAGCAGAGAAAGCTAATATAAAATGCAACTTCTGGTCATGAGAAGAGAAGTGAGTGCATTTACTAGGCATCACCAAAGAAACCACAGCAAAAGGGGAAGTGAACCTCCTCCCCAGATAAATTGTTTTATATTAGAATTTTGTTGTTTTAAAGATTTATTGTCAGGGAAACCATTTGCTGTTTACTAGGTAGAGTAATGGTAGGATTTGGGCATTTTAATTATATGTTCTTTTTTATTTGATTTTTCTTCCTTTCTGTACTGGCTTATTGGAAGGGGATATTTTGATGTGCTGGAGTATTTAGATCAGGGACTTTTACTGCTGAACAGTCAGAAATGACAGAGAGAATCTTATCTTGTTTTCTTGACTGAGGTTTTTGTGTGGGTGTGAGAGGTGCAGCTGCACTGAGGTTTTTTGGCAGTCAAGACAGGGCAATTCTCAATGCATTTCATCTTGAATAGGAAGAAAGTTAAGAGTAAAAAAGCTACTTTGACTGTATTAAATTCAGTGGAAAGCACCCAGGGCCTGAACCTTTGGCTGATATCCTAAGTTATTTGGCTAAATGGATACAGCAGCCTCAGGCCCATGTCCAGGCTTTATGGCATGAACACACGAAGGAGAGAACATTAAAAATAGAGCTTTGTGTCAATATAAAATTATCAATTACCAAATAAAGTTTTTAATTGAACTTTTTGTTTGTGATTTATTTAAGCTTTTTCTCCAAAAGCACGTAATAAAAAGGCAGATTATGAAATCCAAGCTTTGCTTTCAAATATGAATTCACAATTTTATGTAGTTTATTAGATCTTTTTCAGATTTATTTATACGCAGATGGATTCCCAGATCTTCTTTTACTGCTCTCTTGTTTTCTTCACTGTCTTTTGACCTCTTCTGTGGTCTGTAAGCACTTTTGTTTTCCCAAACCCTAAAATTAAATGCAAACAATATAAAACTCCTCATTTTTCAAGCACACTTGCATCTTTTCCTTTGGATAAACTCATCATTATCCTTCATAGAAGTAGATACTACTGATTTGATTTGAGTGTTTAACTGCTTTTTATATCTTCATTGTTATTTAGTATTATTGCTTTCAGAGTAGTGTAAATTCAGATTCTGTGGTTGATTTGAGTTCAGATCCAGCCCTGCTTCTTAGTGTCTTGGTTCCATTATCTCCTCAGTTTTTCATCTTCAAAAGGGAGATAATCATGTTAGGACCTTGTAAGTTTTCTTTTTTAAAGGCCAAAAGATGAAAATTCATATAAAGGACTAAAAATAAATGTACAGGAAAATAGATGTTAGTTATCATTTTCTTAATGATTTATTTAGGTCTAGTATCCTAGAATCTGTTAATATCTATCTTCACTTTTCTGGTCAATCTTATTCAGTCTAAAGATCATTTATATGCTGATGACCACCTATTAAGATCTCTATCCCATCCCCAACTTACCCTAAGCGCAGACTTGTATATCTCACTGCTACTGTATTGTCTACATTTAAATGTCTAATACATACTTCAAACATAACATGTCTAAAAACAGAACTTTTGATCTCTATCACCTGACCCTACTCACTTCCCCAATCTGTTCCTGCCCATCCATTCCTATCTCAGTTAATGACACCACCCTTTGTACTTCTGGCTTCCCTATACCTACCAACCCCTATCCATTTTATCAGCACACCTTATTAGAAGTATCCCCAGAATGTATCCTAAATCTGACCACTTGTCGTCATTTTCTCTGCTATTGTCACAGTCCAAGGCAATACCTTTTTTGCCTGCATGGTTATGTAAGAAATGGTCTTCTTATCGCTCCCTGTTTCCAGTCTTATCCCATACAATCCATTCTCCACATCAAACAGTGATATTTAAAACCAGATTCTTTTATTCTCCTTCTTTTTATTGATATTAGAAAACTCTGCAGAGTTCTTGAAAGTCTTTGATGACCTGGCCCCTCTCTGACTTTCTGCCTATTTCTTGAACACTACTAGTTCATTCCTGTTTGAAGGCTTTTACACTAGCTTTTCCCTCTGGGATCTTTCTCTCACAGATCTTCACAGTGTGGGACCTTGCAATTTTTAGGTCTCTGTTTAGATGCCAACTCCTCAGAGATGGTTACCCTGACGTCTTTCCTTCCTTTCATAATAGCTACTCACCATCTGAAATTTCCCTCCATTTTCTTCTTTCATAAATTGCACCCTCCCAACCCCAAAGGAATTTAAGTTCCATAAGGGCAAGGACGCTTTATCCATCTTGTTCACTGCCATATGCCTGGTGCTTATAATGGAACCTGATACTCAGAATGTTTATAGTATTACAGTATTATATGGATGGATGGCTACATGAAAGAACGAATAAGTATATATCTGGTAAGTTTTCCACAACCAGGGAAATGAGGGATTATTTCATCCTGTACAAACTTTGTATACATGCTTATTTTAGACTTAATCATGCTAATATTTGTCCTAATTGCTTTTATCTGTCTCTTCTGTTTTAGATCGTAAGCCTTTGTGGGTAGGAGGTTTGTCTCATTGTTTTTAGCTTCTCATAGAGTGCTAGATACCATTTTAGTACTTCTGTTGATTAAATTGGAAATTCAATCTAACATCTTTATTTCCTCTGAAATTATAGTATATATATATGTATATATTTAAAGCAGTTGTGTTTAAAATATACATTCCCCTTTTATCTTTTACAGTTCATAATTGGACCCTTGAGGACACCCTTCAGTGGTTGATAGAATTTGTTGAACTCCCTCAATATGAGAAGAATTTTAGAGACAATAATGTCAAAGGAACAACACTTCCCAGGTGAGTCTTTATTATCCAAATGTATCTTTCTACTCTGGGAGAATTATATACTAGATGTCATTTTTCAGTGCTGAGTCTACAAGTTACTTCTGTGGCTGAGGGCACAAAGGAAATACTATAAATATATCCATTCCTTAATATTTTAAAGGTGTGCATTTTCAAGTTTTAATCAGTTGTTCTTCTCTAAATAATCAGATCCTTTAAAAAATTTATTTCCAAAGGTGGGTCAGGTATATTATTTGCAGATAACATTAGAGGTCTACTTTTGAATACTTGGTAGATCTAAGAAAAAGTTATTCATTTGGTACTGGTTCATTTTCTTGAAGATACCTATTTGAATGGATTAATATACAGATTTTTCTTGATTGGCATTCTTTTAATGATAACAATAACCATTTAATTACAGTGGCTATGTTATATCTCAATTTACAAAATGAAGTTTAATAAACAAAAATAAATGGTAACAACCATTTTAAAATATGTTATGTGGAGGTACTTTATATTATCTCATTTAAGGCTTATAATTAAAACAAGGTATATATTATCATCACCATTTTACAGGTTAAAAAAACCATTAGAGACAAGTGAAATATTTTGCCCAAGGCAGTATTTAAACCCAAATAGATCTGATACCAAAGTCCAGCATGCCAATTTATTCCTTAGATGTCTGAAACCTGTTTTTTTTTAATTTTATTTTCTAAATCTCCATTAGTTAACCTAATCTCAAAGGATTTAAATGTTAAAATTTACAGTGATTCTACCAGAACTTTTTATCCTTACAAGATTTTTTGTATGATTTATTTTTCCCTGGGTTGTTTACTACATCGAAAAAATTTAAATCAGTTATTACAATCTAATTGTTATACATAATGAAATATACACATATCACTAATCAATTTGCTTACAAGTTCTATTTAAATAAGTAGTCCCTGTTCCTTTGTGGTTTGTATTTTAGATCAAGTTGGAAGTTTTCAGATCTCCATTAAATGTATTCTGAACATCAGGACCAATATTTCTGATTTTATTATGCATGTGACTAGAATGATGGAATTTTGGGGATAAGAGTCAATTCAACAAGTACTTGTTGAATATCTTTTATGTTAATGGTACAAGTCCATACTAGAAAGAAGAAAAAAATTAAATATAGTTCTTGCTTTTAAATGAAACAGATTACTAAGTTAAAACAGACAGAGTATTAAAATGGGATCAGGGTTTTTTTGATTTACATGTGTTGCCCTGGATATGAGAAGCTATAGCATTTTTCTTATGTTAACTTTTGGGAAGTTTTTTTAAAAATCTGAGAGTTTTTTAACAACATGAAATTTTTGAAACAAAAGTTTTTTAACAACATGAAATAAAATAGGCTGGTCTATGTTTGACAGTTAATGTTATAGCCACTTTTTTCCTTTGGTTAAATAAAGTTTGTCAGAGATGCCTCAAATTCTAGTAGAATTGTAGAGACAACATCATACACTTGTCAAGGTCAATTTTTTAAAATAATGAACATGTTACTATAGAAAAACTTATAAATGTAAAAGTTTAGTTTTCATATTAGTCCATTGAGGACTTTAGGGGAAGAGAAAGGAAAATGGTAAACTCTTCCTCAAGCCCCTGTTATGTGGTGATGGACATTAGCTGAGTCAGCCTAAGGAGCAGTATCAATTAACTTCAATTACTGTGTAAGTTACAGAGCTTTTTTGTAGGGGATCTGTAGACGTAAGAGCTGGTTATAAGCATGTATAAGAAAATATATTATTATACAAATATTATGTACCCATAATAATGTAAAATAAAAACATTTTGAAAAAAGAAAATGTATTACACATTCCAGATAGTTGGCTTACAGTAATCTATTATGATGTTTCTTTTTTTGTGACATTAAAACACTGTTACTTCTGCTATGTGCAGCCTAAACTATGTTTGTTTTATCTTAGCTGTAGCAGTTATCTTAAATCTTTTACTATATTTTCTATAGTCTGTAATTCTTAATTACCAGAGCTTATACTAAGGCTTCCTTCACCTGAAACATGCCTTCTCATTCCTTTCAGACCTGTGTGTACTTCCCTGACACCCTCATTCCTCAGGTGGAATCATTTCCACTTCTGGGCTCCAGCTGCACCTTGCATAAAATTCTGTTACATGGTTTCCTTTTTACTACATCTCATTGTCTTTCTTAAATTTGGTCTATTGATAGCATTGCTATTAATTCATTCACACATCGATCCATGGATTCATTCAACTATTATATAAACATTTTTTAAGCTTCTACTTTTGTCAAGTACCATGGCAGGCTTTGAAGAGGTAAGGCATGGTTTTTGCCTTCAAGCAGTTTGATAAGCATCATGTTAAAGGTGTAAGCCAAGCAGACAGGAAAGGCACCTGAAGAAATGATGAAGGAAGGCATTTTGAAAAGAAAATGTTAAAGTTCTTTGCTCTCTAAAGTTTTATAGAAGCCTCATTGGAATTCCTATAATTTCTCCATACTCAGAGGTATTATTTTCCCAAATAAAATGTGGTGGTTCAGAGTAGTCTTTGGAATCATATATATTTGGGTTTGAATCCTTGCCTTACCTCTTACTAGTTATATAACCTTGGCCAAATTACTCAACCTCACACAAGTATCCTCACCTATAAAATGGAGATATTATACACATTATATGGTTTTCTTAAGTATCAATAAAATCATTGGCACAGGACCCAGCATATAGTAATGTTGTTTTTATTATCATTGTTATTAAATATATTATTATTATTAGACTTTGCATTATAAGATCTTTACCAGCATCATACTTGTTTGTAAAGAAATCTTAGTTGAGTACTGGCTACTTGTATTTGCCTTTCAAAACAAAGTGATTTTATTTCCTTATATCTCCTGTACCTTTTGGCCCCCTACATGCTTTCTTCATTGCAAATACAATGGTTTGATACTTCTTACTACATAAATCCCTCTACCCACCTACCCCAACTTATGAAGGATTCTTGCTTCCCACTTACGGCTTCAGTGTACTTTGCTCAATTTTAAACAGTTTAAATATTAGAATGTAAAGGTATAGATTTTTTTTATACCTTTAAAGAAAAAAAAAGTAACATAATCTAAATTGAGCACTATTTTTCAAAGTCTGCTATTGATGTTAAGTAAGTTACAATTTTATTCTTTGTGCAATGATAGTAAAATGCCAGAGTTAATTAATGATTATAAAATATCTTCAACTTTATACATTTCTAAATCATAGTAAGTTATAGCAGTAACCTTAGAAAACAACTTGTCTATATAGCAACTAAATTATTAACATACAGGAGTCTTTCTACGGCTAACGTTGCATTGAAAGGGTTTTTGAAATATGTCATAAAGTATTAAATCACACATGGATGAGCTCTGTGATCAATAATATGTAAAGTATAAAGTGTGTTGCTCAAATCTTTAAATTTATATACTAGAAATATTTTCATTTAATATATATATTTTTTAAATGAACAGGATAGCAGTGCATGAACCTTCATTTATGAACTTCCAGTTGAAAATCAGTGACCGGAGTCACAGGCAAAAACTGCAGCTCAAGGCACTGGATGTGGTTTTGTTTGGACCCGTAACACGTTAGTATTCTCTCTCAGAGTATGATGTAAACAAATAATCTGATCATCTCTGTGTTACCTAAGTAAGGAAAAAGTAAGAAAGGTAGTAGACCTTTAAGAAGAATCATCTATTACCTGTGAAAGAAACTTAATACTACCTTAAAACAAAAGATTTATAGGATGGGATTGTCTGTCATTGAAACATGGAGTGTGAAATTTTCAAATCTCATTGCTCATGCCAAAAGTTGTAAAAGCTATGATTAGCTTATAGTTTAGAATTTCTAGATTTAAAACTTGGGATCTTTATAACAGTTTTAATGTTTATGTTATTACTGGATAGTCAGTGAAGAATCATTTAAAAAATAATGCAATCTGACCATCTTGATGGCATGAAGTAATAGATCCTAACAATTTCATTAATCATGAACAAAGGGGTTTTTTAGATCAAAGGCAAAGACCCACTTGAAGCTTTATAAAGTAATAGACTATCCTGGTGGGAGCACAAGGTGGATAATGTTATTTGATTGTTTTGAAGAAGAACATTTAAGGAAGTGTAATGTCATACTTATAATGAAAATAAACCCTGTTTTTGTTTACTTCGACAGGAACACTATTTTTTCCCAGAAATTTAATATGTTTATTTAATTTCATATTTCAGAAAACTTTGGGAAAAAATAAAATAAAGAGTACACATTTTAGAGGAGTTGTGTTTTATTTTTCAGAAGCCAGAAAGGAATAACAAAATTAGTACTTAAAAAATAATTAATAAAGAAAATGGCTTCCACAATTTACAAATTAGGAAACTAATGTTTATTCTACCTGAATATTTGGACTTAGGAGATTTTTAGGTTTCTGTGTTTCCATCTTGAGGATGGCCCTTCTAAACATGAGTTACTGGAGTTGGTTGAATGGATTTCCTGACTTTACTGGTAATTCCATTTTTGGCTCAAGCTAAAAGAGCAGCTGGTGAAACAGCTGGAACTTGCCTTTTTGAGAGTTGGTGGAAATTACAAACCCTAGGAAAGAGAACACTACTCAAATGGCGAGTGTTCCATAGAGATGATCTCTCTCTAACCTTTTCCTTTTCCTAAGTTCTGGACTGAATCCTTTAGGGGCAATGCCTTCTATGAGAGTCTGTCAATTTTTTTTCCATGTGAATGGTGAAAATAGGAATTAAAGTATAAAATTTGTCTGTATATACAATCTGGTCAGGAATATTTATATTTTATTATTCTGGGAACAAACCGCTTTCTAAGCCAAAAAAATTTTATTATCAAGTCATTTGAAAAGAAATCAAACTAGTCTCAATAAAAGTTACAAACAAATATTTAAATAAACCAGTTAGAAAGTTAATGATGCATAACCTTTTAAATATGTTTGTCTTAGAATTATTATTTGAGTGAATGAACACTACAGCCAGAACACCTGGGTTGGATTTATAAAAAACAAGCATTGTCAAATGAACAGAGATATATTTTAAAGAAGTTTTTACTTAAATCTTTTCCAGTTCGTGGTGCCTATTATAGGCTTGGGACTTGTCCATCTATTTATTGTTATTTATGATGATTATATTTCACCTAGAGTAAGAGAATAGGGCCCATAGTTGAAGTAGAGCCCGAGCTGAACGTCTCATTCTGAGGCAGAAATGAAAACAAATCCTTTTGAGTCTGTAGCCTTCTGTGGTACATCTCCTCCACAATAGGTGAGGAAGTGCACTCTGGCAATACGGAACATTGGAGGTCTCTGGCAAAAAGCATGGTACATATCACACTGTGCAAACTTAGACGGACCCTAGACTTGACAGCATAGGAACTTGGGATTTCTGTAGAGATTTTCATGTTATAAACTGCAAAATGTCTTCTTGTTGGAATCCTGAACATTTAAGCAGTTTTCCACTGTGAACTATATCTCTTTGGAGCATTAAACTAACACACTATATTGCATTAGCTATCATTGTGTCTCTCTTACAGAGAACCCCCTAAGAATTGGTGCGTATTGACAGTCAGGGCTAACTTAGGAAATTTGAATAGTGATTTCTGTGTTTTGTGTCTCTGAAGACAGTAAGCCCTGGCTCCTTACTCTTTTCTTTAGATGTAATGCTGACAGTTAACATCATGCCTGGCATGTTAGGAGATCCTGCTCTTTCTTGCTAGTAACCCCATGTCTCTGGCATATAGCCGTCTGAAATGGAATAGTTGTTATGGACAATTATCCTAGGGTTTTTTAGCCTTAGCACTATTCACTTTTGGGACTAGATAATTCTTTGTTACTCACAGAGGGGGCATGGAAAAGAGGTTGTCCTTGTGTATTGTAGGATATTCAGCAATATGCTTGGTTTCTACCCACTAGATGCCAGTAACAACTCTCCCCAGGTGTGGCAGCCAAAAATTGTCAAATGTCTGAGAACCACTGTTAACCTAGTTAGTTAGTTACATAGCTACATGCTTGGGGAAAATGCTTTTTGGTGAATGATTAGGTTCTAGTTTATATCTGAAAGCATGACAGCTGCCTGACTTGACTGAAGGAAAGGAATTGGAATGATGATACTTTTTATGACTTTTACCCTGCAGAGGTAATTCTAGCAGCACCTGATTGGAGATGCTGTTGCTTATTCAAGGATCCCAGTGACTTTGGTTACTACTTCCTATATACCATCAGCAGGGACGTGGCTTGTCCACATGGCTTTATCTCTGTCCTAGAGGTCCAGTATATCAGATAGTCATAATAAGCACATTGATTATTTGAAGAAAGAATTTTAAAAGGCTAGAGTTTGTATATAGGATGGGGATCTTTAGTTTTTTGCTTTGTTTTGCTTTTAAATATCTACTATTTAAGAAACAGTGACTCTGTGTTGAGGTTCTGTTATAATTCAAAGATTAATCATCTGTAATTCTCTTCATAGGCCCACCTCATAACTGGATGAAAGATTTTATCCTCACAGTTTCTATAGTAATTGGTGTTGGAGGGTGCTGGTTTGCTTATACGCAGAATAAGACATCAAAAGAACATGTCGCAAAAATGATGAAAGACTTAGAGAGTCTACAAACTGCAGAGCAAAGTCTAATGGACTTACAAGAAAGGTAAGTCAAAGAATATCATAACTTGGAAAATACACTTTGTAAAAATATATGGGCACGTGCTTAAATAGTCATTTAGGTTATTATATACATTAGGAATGCATGCACATTTCATATTTTTAGAAAAATATCAATGTCATAATTTATTATAAGTGTATGTACTTGAGAATAAAATGAGTAGACCACCAGTGGAAGTAAATCAAATGTAGTTGGAATTATATGTGTAGTTAAATTTTATTTTTAACTTAATTTAAATAATTATGAACTTCTTAAAAGCCTTTTGTAGAAGAATGTTTCTCTTCTATTCCTGTCTTTTGATCCCAAGATAATCAAAATAGCTATATAGTAGGTTGTTTGATATTTTTATTATCCAAACTTAAAGTTAATAGAAAATGCTAGGAATTCTGATTGAAATATGTATCTAATTGCTTGAAACAGTATTTTTCTTGTAAAAAATGAAATTTTGGAAACTTGCAAAGAATTTTCATATTTATTGTTCTGTAAGGCTTGAAAAGGCACAGGAAGAAAACAGAAATGTTGCTGTAGAAAAGCAAAATCTAGAGCGCAAAATGATGGATGAAATCAATTACGCAAAGGAGGAGGCTTGTCGGCTGAGAGAGCTGAGGGAGGGAGCTGAATGTGAATTGAGTAGACGTCAGTATGCAGAGCAGGAGTTGGAACAGGTATTTACATTAAAGAAAATTATTCGTTAGGATATTTGTATTGCCACTCTGAGGGGCCAGGTCCTGTTTTTGTAGAGTGTCCTGCATTTAATTTCATTGTATACTGTTACTCAGTTAATAAAAGAATCATTCGTTTATATTGTTAACATTGATCAAAGTCCATATAACTAAATAACAAAGTAGTAACTTAAAATTATCCTCATGTTCACTCATTCATGAAATCTTATCTCATGCCATGTTCATTGTCTTGAGTAAATTTAGGATGTTTATTTAACATCTATAATATGTTTGAGTTTCTGACTGTAATCTAATAAAATAAAGTATATCTAATTTCAAAATTCTATGTAAAGACAAATCTCTACTAAACATCCGTTTGAATCTTATTAAATGGTTTTAGAACATAATTGCTAAAAATTCTGAAGCTGTCTAAAAGATGTCCTTTCTTCTGTTCAGTTAAGATAGAATGTAGGCATTACATAGAGTCCTTTGGAGAAAGTGAGGTTCTAGGAGAATTTAATTTTAGGCAGATGCATCCATTTCCTATTCCTGCTGTAAAAAATTTATCACAAACTTAGTGGCTTAAATAAACATAAATTTATTATCCTAAAGTTCTGGAGATCACAGCGAGTCTACAGTGGGTCCTCCAGGCTGTGTTCTTCTGTGGGCTGCGGGGGAGGACCTCTTTTCTTGCGTGCTTCACTTGTAGAAGCCACTGACATTTCTTGGCCCATGGCCCCTTCCTTCGTCTTGAAAGCACACTACTCCAGCCTCTGCTTTTGTGATATCATCTCCTTCTTCTGACTTTGACCCTTGTTTTTTCTAACTGATAAAGAAACTGAGGAACAAAATGGACTAGAAAACTTGCTCTCAGAATTGGAGAGTGACTCAATTGTAAACGGGGGCAAGAACCTGGATATTCTGCTTCCCACTCTGTTTTATGCAGTGTTACCATCCAAATGACTATTAAATAAGAAATAAGAATTATGTGATGAATGACATTTAATTTCAACTCATTAGAAAATATGCACTATGCATTACTATTTCCTTTAAGATTGTCCGTTTATGACAATTTGTCTGACTGAATGCAGTCATCTCTTTTGTTACTGGTAACTAGTCTTCCCTTCATACCCAAGACATAAGGTTTTTGGCCCTCTTCCCTGCAAGGAGTTTGTTCTTTTAATTTGACTCTTCTTTTAATTTGACATATTTTACAGTCATGCCTCATTTACTTGCCAACCTTATCAGTACAGAATGTAGTAAAGAATTAAAGAATTGATGAAAAAAGCCTAGCCAAAATTATACTGTGTCCAAGAATTAGATACTGTGCCCTTTACTCCTGTGAGAATGCCCTGCCTGTTCCCACCAAGACTTCGAAGTCTTGGTTTTTTCCAAGCTTGTTAGCTGTTTTTCTAAGCTTTGCAAATAAGAAAGGGCAAATCAGAAAGCAATACTGGGGAATTCTTCTACAGAGACATAAACTGATAGTAGCATCTCACAGGTGATAGCGCCTGGTAGTGAGGGAAAAGACACAATTTTTTTTCAAAAGGACCCAAGAATCATGAACACGCTACTGAAGTTTTAGCAGAGAAACCTCGCACACCTCAGTAGACCCTAAAGTTATCACAATAGGATGTACCAGTATGAACATAATAATCCTAATGAGATCTTGGGTCAATAAGAGGTGAAAAGGAAGGAAATGGATATTTTAGAAAGAACTCTATCCAACATGATTATATGAATAAGAAACACAATTTTCTGAGTGCTTACTGTGTGCCATAAGTGTATGCTACACACATTGCCAATGGTTTGCTCATAATTTAAATCCTTAATACATAGATACTGTCTTCATTTACAGAGAAGTGTAGAGAGGTTAAATAACTTGCCTTAGGTCACATAACTATTACATAGCGAAGGCAAGATTTTGCACGTCATATTCCAAAACTTGTGTTTTCCCATACTGCTATTAAAAGCTTTGTTTATAGAAATAAGTTTAACTGGGAAATTAATTATGTATAATGTCACATAACCCACAGTTCCACATAGTTCAAAACATTGCTATATTTTATCTGAGGGATAATTGAACTCTTAAAATTAGAAGGCAGGAAAATCTGGTATATATTTTGTATAGTGTTATTTTCCTTAAAACAAAGACTTTTGGGTGACTAATAGTACCGCTTTATATTTTGTGTGATTTAAATAGTTTTCACATAAATTATTTTGTTCTTATAAAAAGTTTCAAAAAGCCTTTAGTCAGGACAAGTGATAATACTGTTCTACATGAGACAGTAGCCTTGCAAAGTAGGGAACTTACTGAAGGTGGAAGAGGTAATAAATAATAAAGTCAAGTGAAGAAGTTAGATTTTTGGATATTTAGTCTATTTCTTTCTGTGATATCATTTTTTTTACTTATTTTATTCCTAAGATTCAAAAATTATGTAAATAGCACATTTTAAAACGGTAATTCATTATTTGCAAAAGTTATTATTCAAGTTTTACTGTGTCCATTCCCCTATAAATAATAATATAATTTAAATTTAAGGATTGGGAGTTGGGTCAAATGATAAATTTATGAATAATAGCAGAGAAACAGTTAAATAGTTACCATTATTGAAAGATCAGAATTCCCACAAATCTGCGACATTACTTGACAATCAATCTAAACATGATAAGCCTCAATTTATGCCAAAAAACTATATGTAGTTTCTATGTTAAATGTGTTCCATTGAGCTCTTTTAAGGGGAAGTAAATTTATCGAAATAACATTAGGGAAAATCTTTATGAATAAAGAAAGTACCTTGACTAAAGTTTGTTGAGATTTCTGTATACTTCCTTGGAAATGAAAACTGAATAGAAATTTTAATTTTAAAATCTTCTTTGAAAAAGGTCTTGCTGATGTACATTTGTGACGGTATATACAACTACATGTCATGGGACCTGAGCTGGAATTCTCTCTTCCTGAGAGATTAGCAGGGACGCCACTGAGCTTACCAAGTGTCTTATTAAACACAATACTGTCCCAAGCCATTGCACGATGAATCATGCCAGGCAAATGTTGCTTGGGATTTGTTTTCAGTGAGTGAGTGCCATCTTACCCTTACTTTAATGTTTCTCTTTTTTTAATTATCTACTTAGTGTCCCATTTTGAACTTTTGTTTATAGTTTTGGAGTTTTAAAAAATATTTTTCTGCATAATTTTTTTCATAGTATCTGATAGCTGTCTATTTCTTTATCAGAAGTTTGCATATAGTACTCTTCGTAGTTTATTTAAATAAAGTAGGTTTGTTTAGATCAAAAATTCCTCTGCCCTTTAATTTAGGAATGGAGTTTCAGTTACCTTAGTTGCTTTGAGGGAAACTAATATGTATTTGTGGTACTCCAGAAGCAGGATGCTCTGTAGTTCAGTCATCACTTTGCCTGGAGGTCGTGTGTGTGTGTGTGTGTGTGTGTGTGTGTGTGCACGCACAATTCCATAAAGCCATCAATTCCATCATATCTCTTTATACATCTTTAGTTTGAGCTCTTGCTGGTTTTTAAGTAAATCTTTCCTAGAATGGATTATCTCTTCCTTCTGTGTCATTTTCTTAGTGAGGCTTTCCCTAAGAGTTTTTTCCTTAGCACTTTTATTATTGTCTAACACACTAAAACTTTTAGTTTTTTCTCCGTGTATCATCTGGCTTTCCTAAAGGGCAGGTGGAAGAAATACTCTGACAACCTTACACTGAAGGCTATACATAGTTTCTAATGGAAAAACTAAGTAGATTCTCAGAAGCTGTTTTCTTGAAATTTACATATGGTCTGCAAATGCTCACTTATCTATTTTCTGGCATATTAGAAGCAGTGAATTAAGTAACAGAAATGGTAAAACAGACTATAATAAGCAGTTAATACTTATAGCAGTGAGATATAACTGGCCATAAGGAAGGTGTCATGAAAAACTACAGAAAAAGGTATATGAAAAAAAGAGAATGTATAGTTAAGGAGCTATAATGGGGTCCTCTGGGAACATTAGAAGTGGTAATAAGAGCAGGTCTCCACCTGATTTTGAACACTTCCTTACAAGCCAAATATACATTATGTGAAAATTGTGATCAGTTTTAATTTGTATATGCCCTGGATTTTTTCTTCCTATGAGCTTGGATATTATATTAATAAAATATAAAAACAAAATATTGCAACTTAAGATATATGTATAAGCCTCTTCTCTCTGGTTTTGCAGCTTTGCTTAGCAGATTGTATTTAGACTTTGTAATTTAAATCAATGTTTACAAAGAGCATATTTGAAATTGCTTTTTCATTTAGTTTGGGTACTAAAAAATATTTTAATACATCCTTCCTCCCTCTCTCCATTCCTGCTTCCCTCCCCCACTTCTTCCAGGTTCGCATGGCTCTGAAAAAAGCTGAAAAAGAATTTGAACTAAGAAGCAGCTGGTCTGTTCCAGATGCACTTCAAAAATGGCTCCAATTAACACATGAAGTAGAAGTACAGTATTACAATATTAAAAGACAAAATGCTGAAATGCAGTTAGCTATTGCTAAGGATGAGGTATTCTTATATTTCAAAATTTGCTAAACTTGTGTCTTAGGCTGTATGTTAGAGGGATTAACCATCTGGGATACAAAGATCTGAATTAAAGTTTTATTATTGCAGATTTTTTTTTTTTAATTGTAACCTACTGTGTAAATTGACTCTTGTAATCATAGGCTGTAAAGTAAAATTGCTGTATTTAGAGAAGTGTATACCTTTCAAAATGACTTCCGTGTCATTTAAAAATTATCATTATTTATCGTTATCATAAAAGTTTTATACGGAGCTTTTCTCCTCTAGGTTGCTGCTTCATATCTGATTCAGGTTAGTAGTTACTAGAAATTAATTCTGACACTTATTAAATTGTGTGGAATAAGTCTTAATCTGAATTCTAGCAAAGAAAAAGATGCTCAGTTCACTCACTAACACCTCCATTGCAGTAGGATATAGTTAATGTTCTTCTATAGTTTTAGTAGAAGATTCAGGTCTTTCTGAAAGATAGAAATAAAAGAAAAATTCTCCAGGATAAAGTTTTCAATTATGTCAATTGACTTAGGAAAGCATGATTTCTCTCTCATCTGTTTTCTTTCTTTTTTTTTTTTTTCTTTTGAAAACAGGACTATATCTTGGCTAATAATTCTCCTGTGGTTTTATGATGACTAATATATTCAAAACCAGAATAAACTTTACCAGTGTGTGTGTATATATATATATGTGTGTGTGCGTATATATATATATATATTTTTTTTTTCAAACCTGGTCTTATTTTCCTCCTTTTTGGTTTCTAGGCAGAAAAAATTAAAAAGAAGAGAAGTACAGTCTTTGGGACTCTGCATGTTGCACATAGCTCCTCCCTAGATGAGGTAGACCACAAAATTCTGGAAGCAAAGTAAGAATATTATTTTAGCTATCTGTTCATTTACTATTATGTTGAAATGAGTAATTTATAAGCAATCTTTATATTTAAATGTATCATTTAATCATATATACCATGTTTCCCCCAAAATAAGACCTACCCATAAAATAAGCCCTACCAGGATTTCTAAGCATGTGCGCAATATAAGCCCTACCCCCCAAATAAGACCTAGTGACGGGCATGGCTGCGTGGTGGATCTGTACAACCCATGCATTTCATCGCGGAGCGGTAAAGACAATGAGCAGCCCTTCTCATCCGCCCCATGAGAGCTCTATTGCTCGACATGAGAGATTGGGGCTAATGGTTCTAAAGGAAATAGAGTCGTAAGAAATTCAGGATGGAATTCGGGGTTTGGAGAGTTATGATGATGTTCCAGAAGATGACGACTTAACTATATTTGAATAAATGTAGATTGTTGTACTGTACTTAAAAAAAAAAATAGCACATTCCCTGAAAATAAGCCCTAGGGTGTCCTCTTGAGGAAAAATAAATACAATACCCTGTCTTATTTTCAGGGAAACACGGTAATAATTATATAATTTACACTAATTCTAAGAGTGGCTAATTTCTTTTTGAAATTAGCTAATTGCCATGGTCTGTTCATGTAATTGCCTTTTTTCAGTGCCATATTAAAGACTCTTTGATGCAGTAAGTTATTCCTTTATTGGTTTTTCCAGGAAAGCTCTCTCTGAGTTGACGACTTGTTTACGAGAACGACTTTTTCGCTGGCAACAAATTGAGAAGATCTGTGGCTTTCAGATAGCCCATAACTCAGGCCTTCCTAGCCTGACCTCTTCCCTTTACTCTGATCACAGCTGGGTGGTGATGCCGAGAGTCTCTATTCCCCCCTATCCAATTGCAGGCGGAGTTGATGACTTAGATGAAGATACACCTCCAATAGTGTCGCAATTTCCCGGTAAGTGGTGAGTTCAACAAACTACGTTGGTACAATTTTTAAACTAACTTTCCACCATGTGCTTTTAGGAATTATGTACCTTGAAATCTACAGTAAACATTTTGTTTATTTTTCATTTTCTTTTTGTTAATAATTTAAATATTTAGTGTTTGAGAATACTATATGAGATGTGCATATATATACTTATAAATTTATACACATACTTTTAAGAAATCTGAATGCTTAATTAATTGATCAATGCATGTTTTATTTGAGCAACTATTATATATACCTCACTATATTAAGTGTTGAATGTAAGACTTTGTTTTTAAAACAAAAATTAATTAAGTTGATATATAATACATTATTAAATTGAAATGGGGGCATCACATAAAGATATAATTGACAATAAAGACAGCACATTACAAATCGAAATCAGTATTTGAATGAAGTGCTGAGTTTTAAGGGAAAACATCCTTTTAAATGGCAGCTCAATCTCTAGTAGAAATAAAAATCAGGGGAAGAGTTTGGAAACATAGGTTTGAATACTAGCTCTGCCACTAATGAACTGTGGACTTTGAGCCTTTCTGTAATGTATTTAAATTGAGTCTCGGTTCCCACTAGGCGTGTTTTTAATATTTCATTTTGCTTTTTCTGTTCTGTACTTTTATTGAGAGAATATTATTGATTCAAATAACCTTTTAAAATAAATTTAATAACTGTATTTATGTTTGGAAAAACTTATCCATTTTTTGTTGTTAGAAAGTGGAACTCCTCCCGAAGATGATTTTCTTCCATGTAAAATTAGTATTCCTTTGTTGCGCTCTGTGCTTTGAAATTTTTTACATTGGGAGAATAAATTTCAGTGGGAAGGTGAAATTTAAATATTTTAGTTTTGACTTTTTGCAAATTTAGATGTTTTGAATTTAAGCTCTTTATCCTTATTATTGCCTGCTTGATCTATTTTTCCAATCTTTGTTACAGTGTAGCTTAGAGCAAGATTCCAAAGATTGGAAAACCAAATTTAGTCACTGGTTGAAACGTAACTGGAAATGTTAGTCTTTGAGACCAGTTAAATCATGATATATGATCATTTTCCAGTTTGCATTTTCCTATCCAATCGTTAGTGTTCCTGAAGTTGTGATTTAGAAATGGTTCTAATTCTTAAAACAATGTGATGAAATAAGGCCCTGAATTTGAAAGTTAATTCTCAGTGACTATGTGCTTGTATTACTTCTGTGGTTTTAATTCTCTGGTTTAATGGCAGACAGATAATACAAGGAGAGTAAGGAGCCACTTAGCTCTTAAAGGAGGTAGGAGGAGTGGACGGAATGTCAATGCAAGGAACACTAGAAGTGTGTGACCTTATTCATTTCACTTGCCCCATACTGGAAGGTAGTGATGGTTGTAAAGTTATATCTGGATCTGGGTCGGCTCTGCAGTTTGAATATTGTCAGTTTGTGCTTGTTTATTTGAATTATATATGTGCCCTTAAACTTGCCAAATGCAACACTGATTCATAAGTATATGCTTTTGTTTGAAAACTATAGGTTTTTAAAGTCACAGTTGCTCCTTAAAATCCATATTTAATATCAGAATTGTGCACGAAGATGCATTCTCTAAATTAACTGGTGTTTTTCTTTGCTTTTTTTAAAAGCTAAGGGTGTCAGATATCCATATGTCTGTTAAAAGAAAACACACTAAATGAGAACAGTTACCCTCGTTTTAAATGATTGTGGTATACTGGCAAATTTGAACGTTTAAATACGAACAAAGTACAAGAATTGATTTTAAATTTAATATGATGTTTTAGAAATGCTGTGATCAAACTTATCTCTAAAAAATAACTGATGCCAAATGTTACAATTTGAGGGCTCTGCCTCCACCCAGTGGCACTACAGTGGTACTCCACTCTGCTGAGTTACAAAAGCATAATTTCTAGACCTGATAAACTGAAAAGTCTTGGCAACAGGAGGAGAGTCTAAGGTAGAATGAAGGCTCTTCACTGTTATATCCTTCTAAGCAGTTTAAATTTTTTTTTTTTTACCATAGGTATGTGTAAATTTTATAAGTTTGAAATAATGACAAGTAAGCATGCCTGTGGTATGTTAAGAACAAAGTAAGACCAAACATACAATAATATTGTCTATGTTTAATTACATATAAAGAAAAAACAGAACAAATAGCTTTGTGTGGGTAGTAGAATGGATGATAATTATTTTCTTATTGCTTTTTTTAGTGTCTTCTAAATGCTTTCCTAACGAGAATGTAATAGCAATTTATTTAAAATTTCTTATTATAAAGGCTTTCACATGTACTTTACTGAAAATAGTATGCCCAACTACCACAAAGATAAACAGATTTTTGCCTTATTTATTTATTTTTTATCTGAAACAAACCATGACAGATACAGCTAAACCAGTGGCCTCCTGTTCCCATTCTTCTGAAGTGAATCATTCTAAAGCCTGTTATGCTTTTATTACATACATGCATATATATCCACAGCAATATATAGAATTGTTGTGTGTTTAAAAATTTACATAAATGCTATCAAACTGTATGTATTATTTTGCATTTCTTTTTGTTCAAAAGTATATTTCAAATATTTTCCATGTTTATATATAGATGAATTACATTCACTGTAACTATGTAATATATGAGTTAACCACAATGTATCTATTTATTTATTGTATCAAAAAACAGACTTTATTCATGTTTCTGCTGACATCGATTCTTTCTACTTTTGTGCCCTTACAAACAATATGCAAAAAGCATCCTTACCTGTATCTCCTTGTGCTTAACTTGGAGAAACTTGTGTTTCTCTGCATAGACACCTACAAGTGGATTGCTGGGTGGGTCATTAGGAAGACACCTCTTAGTCATTGCTTAGTCATCGCTCAGTTGCTCTCAAAATGATTCTATCAGTTTATATACCCACTGTTTATACGAGTGCCTGTATCCTCACTGATACTTGGAATAATCCAGTTTGGTGTTTTTTTGCAACTTGAATGGGTGTGAAGTGATACCTCACTATTAATAAAAGTTGTATTTCCTCAATGACTGCTGAGGTTGAGTACCATTTCATTTAATGGCATTTGTCATTCAGGTTTCTTCCTCTCTGAGTTGCTTTTTCTTGCTGTGGAATCCCTCTAAGATTCCTTAGTGATTTGGAAGCACTGCTTTTATTTTCTGGTTATTTGAGGATTACAGATATCTTCTCCTAGGCTTTGGCTTCTTTAATGGCAGATTTATGTTTTTTATGGCTTTTCAAAAGGTGATAATATTATCGTTTGCTCTCCTAAAAGTTTTTTAAGTTTTTCTTTAATCCCTTAGTCCTTTAATCCACATGGAAGTTATTTTTGTTCATAGTGTGAGATCGGAATCTAAATATATCTTTTGATGTGTGGGTAAACAGTTGTCCCAGCCTCATTCCTGCTCTATCCCTGCTAACTTGTAATACCACTTCTCTCTATAGATACACAAATGCTTCCAGCTCTGTATTTTGTTCTGTTGGCTCCACTCTGCTTTAGTTGCTATAGCCTTAGAGGAAGTATTGCTATTTGATAAAATGCAAATCTTCCTTTATTATTCAAATTCAGAATTCCTACCCTGGACCAAATATTCTTATGAATTTTAAGATCAGTTTATGAAATTCTATGGAAAGTTCCATTGGTTTTTAAAAACATTTCTTTGAATGAGTGGATTTATTTGGGGAGAATTATTGCTAATAAATTATATTTATTGAGGTCTTTTATATCTTTAAATAAACTGGGTAATTTATTTTCTCTGTGCAGGTCTTGCATTTTTTTTTTAAAGATTAATTTCTAGGTACCTCAATAGCTTTTTCTGTCATGTATGTTACCTTTCTTAAAAAAATTATACTTCTGATTGTTTGCTGCTGATGAAGAAATGCTGTGGATTTTGGTTTGCTGACCTGTATCTAGATATGTTATTGAATTCCCTTATGAGAGTCTTTTGGGTTTTTTAGTGTGATTAATTTTTTTTTCCCAATCTTTGTTTACTTGTTTTTTAGGTTTGTCTTTTCAGCATGTTTTTAAATGCTGATGGGAAGTACAGACGGAGAAGATGAAAATAAGGGCAAGGAAAGGAATAATCAGTAGAGTAAGGACTGTTGTAGATATCAGTAATCAGTAAGTGGAAGGAACAAAATGTATGAGCTAGAAAGAAAGAAGCATGCTCAGAATCTAAATGTCTGATGTCTTCTTGACTTGTAGTTTCAAAGATGGACCAGTTCTGAATGATGGCAAGACAAGGCATGAGAGTGGCTGGTAGAGTAGGGGTGAAGGTCAGGGGAGAATTGATGAAAACCCTGGCTAGTTAAGGTGTTGCATAGGTCGTGCATGTGACGTTGTTCATGTCGATGACAGGGTGGACGGACTGGTCAGAGAGAGAATGACTGGGAAATGGCCAGTGGAAGTGGAAGTGGAAGATTCATTCATGTTCCTTCATAGTGTGAGCTTCAGAAGGTGTATATTTTTATAAAAGGGTGTGGGGATAAGAGTTTGCAGACAATATTGGGGAGCGAGAAGGCCAACAACCTCAGTCCTGATGCTGTGGCATATGGATTGTGCAGGAATGAACAGCTTCAGCTTGAAAAGGTTGTTCTTGGGTGAGCTATGTTCCAGTTGAGGGAGAGAAATGGAATGCCCACTCGGTGAAGACATTGAGCATGAGGATGAGGATGCCGGGGTCTAGGCCGAGACTGGTAGCACATACAGGATGATCTAAAATTTGCATTTAGTTCCACAGTAGTCAGTGTTCAAGAAACAAGTTTTGGTCTTAGCTCTAACCAGCTGTGAGACTGTCTGGATAGTAGATAAATGATTTCCTTGATTTAAAACTACTTGAAATTCAAACAAGTTGTTATATTTCAAGAGATATCCATTGGTAAAACTCCAATATACTTTATACTGATAGTATTCCTTGTTTAGTGTTAACAATCATAAAAAAGTTTATAGTAAAATACAAATTTCTTATAAATAGACTGTTGATTTTTAAATTTAAGGATTTATCATCTTAGGTAAATTTTTAAGCCTTTGTGGTTAGTAAATTTAGATTTTCTATTAGAACCTCGTGTGTTTATGTTCATTTCTGTTCATTTTTTATACCTGTTTTCTGTTACATTTTTATTGTTTGTTTCTTTCCTAGTATAGGTAGGTGGTAGAGAATGGTAATAATTGTATAGTGACTTCAGTAAGGGAGATTCAGTAGTGACATATTGGTGACACCAGTTCTCCTTGTGTATATTTGTAGTGACCACAAAGGGAGCGGTGGACTTCAGGGGCGTTCTTGTCTGTTTGTGTTTTTCAGGGACGGTGGCCAAACCTCCCGGCTCGTTAGCCAGAAGCAGCAGCTTGTGCCGCTCCCGCCGCAGCATCGTGCCCGCCTCGCCGCAGGCCCCGCGCGCCCAGCCGCCGCCCGCTCACCCGGCGCACCCTCGCCACCCTCACCACCCCCAGCACGCGCAGCACTCGCTGCCTTCCCCCGACCCAGACATCCTGTCCGTGTCCAGCTGCCCAGCGCTTTATCGGAACGAAGAGGAGGAGGAGGCCATTTACTTCTCTGCTGAGAAGCAATGGTATTGGCGGGGAGTGGTCTACACCACGTCTTGGGGGCTGGCGGGGGGGGGGGGGGGGGGAGGAGGCGTGCTGCATGGTATCAGTTTTCTATTGCTGCGTGACAAGTTACCCCAGACTTAGTGGCCTCAAACAAACCCATTTATTAACTCTCAGTTCTGTATGTCTGAAGTGCAAGCCTGGTGTGACTGGGTTTTCTGCATGGTCTCCCACGGCTGAACTCAAAGTGCTGGCTGGGCTTCCTTCTTACCCGGAGCTCAGGCTCCTCTTAGAGCCCATGTGGTGATAGGTCTGAGGTCCTGTGGCTGTGCCTGCTGTCAGCTGGGTGCCACTGTCAGCGCCTGAAGTCTGTGCGCTCTTCCTTGCCACGTGACCTCTGTCTTTGAAGCCAGCAGCAGAGAATTTCCCTTCTGTGAATCATTGCTTTGCTTCAAAACTCTGACTTCTACCTCTGATCTCTAGACTCAAATTTAAAAGGCTTAGCTGAATAAGAATCTCTATATTAAGATCAGCTAATTGGGGGCCTTAATTTTATCTGCAAAATTCACTCATAGCGGCACCTACATTTGTGTTTGATTGAGTAACTGGAATGAGGTGTATGTAACCAGGGATTAGGGTTTGGGGGACCATCTTAGAATTCTGCCTACCATGGACATGTAGATAGATATTTTGAGATAAAACTGCACAGAGGCCACTGGACTCAATTGACTCAGGTCTCAGAATACAAAGTTGTCATATGAACAGAGTTTCATATGTAGAATATAAAAGCATGAGCTTAAACATACTTGAACATAAAGAAACATTAAATGTGACTGAGTTTTTAAAGTATTTGTTGTCACTTACTGATTTATTCTGTTATGTGCTAGCATATAAGATTTAAGAAAATATCAGGAACTTAAAGGAGAAAATTATATTCATAACATTTATTTATTTTTACAAAGTGGGTATAGCAGCAGTGGATTCCAGCTTAACTGAAGGACACCAGTGCTACATGAGACCTGTTGCTTTGCCAGAGCTCTGTTTCTAAATCACATTTCTCTTTTGAAGCAGTATGGTATTTAGTGTTAGAAAAACTAGTGTTAGTTCCTGATTTTGCCACTAAGTAGCCATGTGGCCCCAAAGTCTTACTGTCCACACACGGGAATAGGCTGGATGCTGTCAGCGGTACTTTGTAGCTCTCTATCCTGTGACTCTAGGTGACATTATCATTAAAAGTCATTTTCAATCCACAATTGTTTTATCAACTAGTAAAAGAAAACTTTGTGATTAGCAAGTGAGCACTGTGGCATATTCCTAAGGAGATAACCCAGGTTTTGTATCCTCATCGTAATTGGAAAATTTGATGCAGCACTTTGTGATTAGCTTTTTGTGTATCTTTGCACTATAACCATAGTCACCTGCAGAATGGCGTTATTGACAAAACTGGTCTTGGGTGCCTTCTGGAAATTAGCAGGAAAACTCTAGAGCTGCACCAACAGAGCCTTTTGCAGTGATGGGGAACGTTCAGTCCTCATTTCAAATGGCAATGTCAAAAATTCACAGCTAGCTCATAAGTATGGGAAGAATTTAAATTCAGAAAATTTCCCTTCCTCTTCATTTTCAATATCTCAACTATTGCACCACCAGAATCCTTACAAAATAATAATATATTTACTTTTTACTGATTTTTATGTTCTATACATTATACACATATATGCTCATTTAAACCTCACCTTTGAGTTAAGTTGTCTTATACATGTGTTAAACTTAATTCAACTACATGTCACTGTGGAAGAGGACAAGAGATAGAAAAATAGCATAAATGATTAAGTTCAACATTCCAAAGAATAGAAAAGTGAAATTTTAAGTTGTACTATACCTATACTCCAAGTCTGATTATAGTTATGAAGAACCAATACTTTAGGTTATTATTTATTATGGAATTAAAATGTTAGAACTAGAAGTAACAATAGCAATTAATCAAATTCTCTTACCTTAACAGATAGAAAATTGAGATCTAGAGAAATGAGTGACTTGCTAAGGATTGTACAGCTGGTTAATGGCAGGACGAGGACAGGAATCTAGGTTTCCTGACTTAAATTAGTATTCTTTTCACATGTTGTTTAGAGTTTAGAAGCCAGGTTTTAAAATATTTTTAGCCTAGCTTAGAATTTCACATAGAAAGCAGCCAGGCCACATAGCAGAAAAGAAAGTAAATTCATAAAATTGTAACTAAATCAGCTTCTGACTTTGGAATCTGAACAGCTTCAGGGGAACAGCGATATATTCTATTCAGTTAATTGACATCCACTCCCAAAATGTTCCTATCAGTGTTTGATTTCTGAGCTGATCATTTCTTCATCCAAACTGCCTCTTGCCTTCTGTTAGCACTGCCCATTGTCAAATTATAAAAGTGATTGACAATTCCTGAGCACAGGCAGGTATATTATATGATTTATTTGTCCAGGAGATTCTGTACCCTTTGGGAGCTTGTAGAGTAGTAAAGACAATTTTCACATACACATGTGAGTAAAGTACATAGAAGTGACAAAATAAGTTCAGCAATCTAATATATATCTGAAATATGATATTAACATAAAATACTTGAGAAAAGCAAATGCCAGACCTCCAATAGACATGCATATCAGTAATGTGAAAAATGGTAGTGATCATAGGCTGTTCCAGATGAGAGATCATTCAGTTTATTCATTCTGTAAAGATGGATTTGGTCCTTGCTATGTGCTGTGCACTTGCTAATCACTTGTGCTGCCAAGGCAAGTGAGATGAGGTCTTAGCCTAGTTCCAGCTGGTGGATTATGATCATATGTATACTTGCCTTTCTATTCTGCCTTCAGCAATGTTCCTTTTCCCACTTTATTTCTTTTGCCAGTTACTTTCTACCTTGACTCTACTTTTCGTTTCTTAATCATTCCTTTCATGAATACAAAAGTGAATAAGATTAGACAGTAAAGTGAATAAGATGTGATCCCTGTTCTTCCAGATCTCATTCTATTCATCCATCCATCCATCCAACGCATTTTTATTAAATGACCATTGTGAGCTTGCCACCACTACTCTATTGTGGAAAATATAGAGATTAACAAGACACCCTGTCCTTATGTAGTCTCCTTTTTCTAGGGATACTGACTATAAACAAGTTACTATGAAATATCATATTAGGTACGGATAAGTTCTGGGATGATAAAGATGGGTAAAAGGAAAGAGAATGCGGCGTTAGATATGCTGGTTGGGGGCATCTCTGGGGACACGGCAGTGGCCTGAGCGCCATGCGGAGACAGGCAGGGGGACAGCAAGTGCAGAGCCCTGAGGGAGCCACCAGCGTTGGCTGTCGGGGGAATGAGGCACCACAGCGGAGTGAGGCAGGGCTAGGGTATGCAGCTAGAGAGCCAGGGACCAGATGTACGGGGCCTCGTAGGCTTTGGATCTTACTCTGACAGTATGAGGGAAAGCACTGGAAGGTTTTGAGCAAGTGAATGATGTGCTCTGTTTGAGTTTTTAAAAATCACCTTCATGGCTGTATAGAGACGTGTCTAAAGGAAAGAACAAGAATGGAAGCAGCAAAACCAGTTAGGAAGCTGTTACAGTCATTTAGGTGAGTTCCAGGTGGTTCTGGAAGAGGGATGGTAGCAGTGGGGCAATAAGGAATGGCAGATTGAGGGATAGTTGAAGGAATGGTTGATAGCACTTACTGTATGTTGGCTGTAGGGTTATGAACTTTATTTCTCTATGGTGCAGAAAGGGGGAAAACATTTGCGAAGGAATAACCCTGTGAGAATTTGAATGTCTACTTTTCAAAAACAGCATTATATAGTTGCCTCCCCCTTCCGCTCCCCCCTCCACTCCCATACTCTGCTGCACCTCAATTTCATGCACCCTTTTTTAAAATTGGCAGAACTTATATTTAGTCTAATTCCTTTATGTTTCTTCCTTCCTTATGAAGCTGTATTTCATCAAGTTAATGACCAAAATATTAAATAAAGGAAGAGGCAGTGACTAAAATTCATCTTTAAAATATATAATGTCAACTTGATTTAGAAAGAAATATAGTGTTGAAACAAAACATAAAAGTAGCTGAAATGGTAGCTGAATCATTTGTAAAATTTGAACATTTTAATTTTTCTGACAGAAAGTGTAACTTAAGTTCTCCTGTTTCTAAGATCTCATTATTATAGTTTATGTTAAAAATTAAACATTGAGTTTTGAGAACTATATTGTTTAAAGTAGTAATTTTCTAATTTTGTCAAAATGAGTATAGAGTTGCAGCATTTCCTTCTTTTGAATTTCAATAGATTAAACAATGAAAGATGTTTTAGTTAGAATGTATGCTAGTCCTCTTAAGAACAGATTGATTTAAAATTTTTAACCTTTGTCTCTCTCAGGGAAGTGCCAGACACAGCTTCAGAATGTGACTCCTTAAATTCTTCCATTGGAAGGAAACAGTCTCCTCCTTCAAGTCTTGAGATATACCAAACATTATCTCCTCGAAAGATATCAAGAGATGAGCTCTCCCTAGAGGATTCCTCCAGAGGAGATTCGCCCATCACTGTGGATGTCTCTCGGGGATCTCCCGATTGTGTAGGTCTGACAGAAACCAAGAGTATGATCTTCAGCCCTGCAAGCAAAGTGTACAACGGCATCCTGGAGAAATCCTGCAGTATGAACCAGCTTTCCAGTGGCATCCCGGTGCCCAAACCTCGCCACACGTCGTGTTCCTCAGCTGGCAATGACAGTAAACCAGTTCAGGAGGCCCCAAATGTTGCCAGGATAAGCAGCATCCCACATGACCTTTGTCATAATGGAGAGAAAAGCAAAAAGCCATCAAAAATCAAAAGCCTTTTTAAGAAGAAATCTAAGTGAACTGGCAGACTTGATGGAATCCCATTCAAGTGGCATCTGTAAACTTTTGTCTCCCTCCTTCCACTCTCTTTTTTTGTTTGTTTTAATTTTAGGAAGGTAACTCCATTGGGGCTTTCTGGACTGGATGCCATAGTGGAATGTCCTTAAGGGCAACTGTCTACTGTCTGCTTATTTAAATGACTATATAATCAATACATCAAGCCAGTTATTACTGAAAAATCATTAAGAGATGAGACAGTTTACAGTCATTTCTGCCTATTTATTTCTGCTTTGTTATTCGTGACATATATACAACATTTTGTTGGAAGCCACTATGGACTTACGAGCTTTAATGGACTAGTAAGCCAGCATGGGCTTGCAAACTTTCTTGTTTACCAGAGCATCTTCTTATCTTTCCACAGAGCTATTTACATCCTGGACTAAATAACTTAAGAGAAGTAAAACTAATTGCACTACTGTTTTCCAGACTGGAAAAGAAAATATCTGCAAGTGAAAATGTATAGAGTTTATAAAGTGACTATGGATAGGGGACTGTTTTCACTTTTAGATCAAAATGGGTTTTTAAGTAGAACCTAGGGTTTCTAATTGACTTGATTTCTGGAAATGAAAACCCACGCTTTTATTATGGGAAGCTTCTTTAAATGCATTTAATATTGTAAAGTTTCAAGTCCTGCTGTAAAGACCATGTTGTTTTGTTTTCCCCAGGGCTTTCACTGTGATTTACTGCATTGCAGGCTGTATGATAAAATACAAATAATTTAAAGAGAGAGGGCTCTTGATTCCTTATGCAAGTGGAAGAGTTGAAACTTGATTGAAGGACTTAAAACATTCACAAGCGTAAACTGAGGTGGGGGAGATATGGGGATTCAGGCACATGTTTACAGACTTTGAATAACTGCAAAGGATTTATGGTTTGTGAAAATTTGTACTGTGGAAAAGATAATAAATTGGAGACATTACTGTGTGGGATTGTGCTGATTTTTGTTGATAACACTCCACTAAAAACACTATATGTTTTTCTGGAGAGCTGTGTAAGCTGTCTTGTTGCTTAATTGCAATATAAGAAATAGTGATGTTTTGGAAGTAAGTTGTCAACAAATTTCTTTCTATTTTATATTGTTTGTCATATTTTTATGTAGTTTGAAATGTTTAAATGTTCTAATATCAAGATTAACAAATACAAATTTATGGTGCATTTAGATTGTGTTGTATTAATTTACAAAGTTTGGTATTCATTAAACTGGTAGGCTGTATAAGGGTAGCTTTTGCTGTGAGAGTTAAATCCCATACAGCCACAAAGTACATTAACATCTGGAGAGTTTCTACTTATACACTTTTAAAAATTCAGTCATAAATGATCTGGTTAATGCAATGTGAATGGATGCTTGGGTGAACAACTAATACATATTAGCTAGAATGGTTTTTCAGCCTTATGGCTAGAATACATAATGCCTAACCCAGGGCTCTAGGTGAAAATGCTGCTAGAGCATTTTCTTTTGAGATTTGCTCAAAAAATGCTTTAATTATTAAGAATATGAAGAATTCTTCATATTCTATCATATTTATTCATATTCAATGAGGAATATGAATAAATATTAAGAATATAAAGAATTTCCTGATGTCTCCTATAAATTGTGATTGTTTATTCTCTTTAGTACTGTTGTTAAAAACTTGAATAACATTTATATGGGCTGATATTTATATATTTAGTAGACTGAGTGCTGTAAGGGCAGAAATTGATTGAAATGAACAGAGTTTTGGACTAATGATAAGGTAGGATAACCTGAAAGGTGGAGTCGAACACTAAAGGAGAGGAGATCTAAAGCTGTGTAGAAAGGGGGGAAAATGGTACATAAGGAATCGAAAAGGGTTCTGGAAAGTTTATTCAAAGTGAAGGGAAAGCCTTATCTTCTTTCTTTTTCTTACAACCAGACAGGAGTTCTTCCCTTTGAAAATTGCAAAAGTAGGGGGACTTTGTAGCTGGATAAGTAGGAAAGGGAAGAGCAGCTGGAGTTGGGAGTGGAGCTGGGAGGAGGAGCTGCCCACAGGGGGCTGTGGTGGGACCAGCTGCAGGCTGGCACTCCTGCTGGGAGTGGGGGTGGGGCAGCGCGTTTCAAGTCAGGGAATGCACAGTTTGTGTTGAACTTCGCACACTTATTTATGAACAGATTCAACCAAGGGATATTTACTGCTTTATGTTGCTTGTAATATTTATTTTGCATTAATGCAATACTCTATACTTATTTGTAAATTCTAGAGAAAATAATTGCATTTTTGGAAAGCTACAATAATTTCTGTATCATATAATTTATATGTGAAAAGTTGGGCATTTCTATAAATTTTTAAAATTATCCATTTGTTACCTTATTTTAGCATTTTAAAATTATGGTGTTTTCTGGTTTTGAAAGTAGTGCCTTCTTTACTATAAAAAAGAAGGATTAATGATAGAAAAGTGTAAAAATGAAAGCAATAGCAAGCAGGTCAAATCCTACCCAAAATAATTGCTTTTAGTATTTTGGTATGTTTTATGCTATATCTTTTTTTACATATTGGTGTATATTTTACATAATTGAAATCATGCTATATATTCAATTTTATATCATGCTTTTTCACTTAATATATTATAAGCGTTTTTCCAACATCATTAAAAACTCTTCATGAACAACATTTTAATGACTGTATAATAATATGCCATTGTATGGATTTACCATAATCTTTAGCCATCATTCTGTCATTAAACATTTGGCTGTTTCTAAATTTCTGATATGTGGATTAATAGCATTAGCATTTTTTGAGCACTCTATATGCTAGGCACTGTTCTAAACTTTAATTTGTATTCTTATTTAATCTTTCACCAACTTCATAGGGTAGGTACTTTTTAAAAAAAACAAACATTTTACTGGTGAGGAAAGTGAGCCCAAAATGTCAATAATTGGCTGAAGGTCACATAGCTAGTAAGTGGTAGAGGCATGTTCTTAACTTCTAAATCATACTACATAAATTCTAGTCAACACTTTAATTTCTTAGGATATTGGCCAGGCATGGTGGCTCGCACCTATAATCCCAGCACTTCGGGAGGCGAAGATCACTTGAGGCCAGGAGTTCATGACCAGCCTGGACAACATAGTGAGACCCTATCTCTACAAAAAGTAAAAATATTAGTTGTGTGCCTACAGTCCTTGCTACTTGGGAGGAGGGTTGTTTGAGCCCAGTAGTTTGAGGTTGCAATGAGCTATGATCATGCCACTGCACTCTAACCTGAACAACACAGCAAAACTCTGTCTCTAAAAATAAAAAAAAAAAAAATTAAGAAGTTCATATAAAAATATAAAGATTTTTTTTAGTTTACATTTTTATATCTAGGTACATGGTATGTATATATACACACACGTAGTCTCACATAGATACCTTGGTTATAAGTATTTTTAAGGTTTCTTATATAACCATGTTGCTACCCCCCAAAACTTGAGTGTGTTTGAGTGCCCTTTGACTTCACACCATCATTTCTGAATTACCATTTAGTTAAAACTTTGCAAATTTAATAGATAAATAATGTCTGGTAAGGGTAGAAAGTGTTTTCATGTTTTGTTTGTATTTTTCATTTCAGTGAATTGTCTATGTTTTTTGCCCAGTAAGTGCTTGGAGTCCTCCTGTTTTTCTAAGTCTTTTGCACATTTAGTCTTTCAAATGTAGCTATTATTGTATTCTTCAGTTACCAACTGTGATTTTTTAAGTCATATATGTATTTTTTGTACTTATTTTAAAAATAAGTGAAAGAAAACCCAGGTTTAAGTTTTAGTCTTACTGATCTCCTGATTTTAGGTCTTGAATAGGAGAGTTTCACCTTGTTTATGTGGTTGTGATAGATTTTCCCAAAAAATTACAGCTAAGAGACAATATAGAATCTGCTTAATTCATTCAACAAATGTTTAATAGCCTACCACATTCCAAGCATTGTGATAAGTTCTGAAGGTATGAAGACAAAGATGACAAGTGCCTGTTTTAAAGGAACTTGGTATCTAACTGGAGACAGAGCAGACAAAGTCCCTGTACTGAGTGGACTGATAGAAATGGAAGCTGAACATGGGAAGTGGGGGCTAATGGGGAGAGGCATTATATAGCTCAAAAGTATTTATTAAATCAAAGATAATTTAATGGTGCTATTTTGTTGAGGACATGGAGAGATTGGTGTGTCAGAAACATAATAGGACCAAAGGCAAGTTAGTTTTAGGGCTTCTACTAACTAGTCCAGCAAATGAGCTTGCAGTCACTGGGGTTCTCGCAGGACACTTGGTAATAGCTGTGGGGCTGCTTATCTTGGTGCAATCTCGTGTGGGCCTGGATAGCTCCGATGAACACATTCACTGCCATGAGAGTCCTATTTAACTCACTCTAGTTTTTACCCCGGGGCCACATGAAGCATATATAAAATCTTACTTGTTCCTGTTCTCATTGTTACAATTAATATTGACAATTTAATTCTAAAAACATAGATTAAAAGAATAGAAGTCAATAAATTTTGTTTTTATGTTTACCTTTAAATTACACTCGAAGTTTTTATTCTATTTTTGTAATAGAACACTGGCCCCAAGGAAAAGTTTCTGGATTTTTTGTGTGGCAGTCAATGTGTTAAAGACTGTTTCGCTTCCACATCCCCAGCCCTTTCAGATGTGTCGGGAAGGCCTGATCCTATCGTGGATCAATCAACTGATGTCGAGTGGGGTTCAGGCCAAGTGTCAGGATTTAACCTCAGTTCCGTGATTGGGCTTTCCTGGAGTTATCTACAGTCTGCGAAGTGGCTTTCCAAGAGTCCTCTCTCTCTCAGTGTTTCTTTTAGGTCCAGATAGGACATTGTAGGGAGGCCTCAGGCCAGATCTTGATTTCCTGTCAGTGGGACTGGGACTGAGGCTGCAGCCTCACATCCTCTCCCGAGTTACAGTTGTGGCGGCCAGAGTCTCCAGCATCCAGATGATGCAGCTTTTACTAGACACGTCACAATGTCTCCATCAGCCTCCAAAAGTGAAAGCTGAGGGGGAGCGGTGAGCTGAAGGTAGGGCAGGCGGCTCACCTGCACCTGTGAGAGCAGCTCTGCCCCAGGGCGTCACGGTGGCTCAGCCACTCCAGGTCAACAGCCCTGGAAGCAGCAGCTGAGCTTCCTTCCGCTTCCTGTATTTCTGCCCACTGTGCCCTGGGAGGTTCTAGTTCCCTATGTATGTCGGACTCTAAGAAATCTTGCCGGGGTCAAAATCGTTCTTCATCTTTTGCTTCAGATTTACTGATTTTAGTTTCAAATATTTGTGTCGCATAGCAGCCATCCAGTGTTGCAGTCCCCATTCTTAAGAATATCCCGTGTGCACTCCTAAGCACCACTTCTTCAGTCGAAGCATCTTAGCTCTAAAATATCCTCATAGGCTCATTTTCCCATGTGTGAGAATGTTACATGCTGAAATCCTCTTACAAACCTCTAGCCCCTAAGATGTGGCGACACTGGATTCTAGCAAAATTTAAGGTCCCCAGCACTAAAGGACTGGAAAAGGTTTCCAGAATAAGAATGTGGCATTTTTCTTTGATTCTTCTCCATGAAATAGCTTTCTATTAACATTCAAGACGTGCATCTGTAGGCGTAAAGTACAGTGACAAGAAATTAAAGGGGGTTGCATGAAGGGATAACGTGAAGCCTGGGTGTGACAGCTGCTGTACCAGGGGTTGCTTTTGATCTTAAACTAAAGGTAAGAGAATGAACCTGGAAACAGGACTGGGCATGGAACTTTGGGAGGGTAGGGAAGCAGAAAGGAGGGGAAAGTGCATTTGTTGTGAATGTACCAAATCCCTGCAGTCTCAGCCAATGCCTCACTTCTCTACCCAGTGCCCTGGGGCCTTGCTGCCTTAGTTTCTCATTTTGTTATCTTCAAAAGGCTAGCTGAACCCATCCTTACCCCAGTTCTTCCTTTTTTTTGGTTGGTAAGATTTCTAAGTTGCACAGTGGATTTTCTCTGATTAAAACATTTTCTATGGCTTTCATTGCATGTAGGATAAAACATAAGAGAGACCAGAGGGTTCCTTAATGTTGTGGGCCCTGCTTACTCCTCCAGCCTTATGACTTGCCATTTATGGACATAACCTAACCAGTCACACAGAACTTCGTGCAATTTCTGGAATGAGCCAAGTTGCTCCCTACCCACCTCCCTCAGTGTGCACT